CTGTTTGGACTATAAATGTCATATACTCTTCCGAATTTCTTAAAAGTTCTCCACATATCTGCATAAGTCCATTCTTCAGGGAAATTTGTAAAGAAATAAGGGATGGCTTATTTGTAAAGTCCCCAATCATATGAATCCCCCAGCTTCTGTTTTTGAATCTAATTCTGATCAGCATATGCCTTCCGTTGTCCAATTGGTGTGGTTTTCCTGAGATGCTTTCTTCCTAGAAATCTTGCATGCTCTTCGCTCTGTGTTATCCTTCTTCCCGTTATCCAATGATCGCCTCCTCTCTCTCTCTCTCTACCTCTCTCTCTCATCTCGCTTGATATTTTAGTTACAAAACCTTATTATCATTGAGGTAGTCTTGGAATGGTGCCAGTCATGCAGCCATTAATAGTGATAACTATCCTACATGGAATTGAGCAATGACTAGGGCACTTGAAGCAAAGAACAAGCTAGGATTTGTTAATGTAACAATCAGCGAACCAGCATTAAATTCTACCATGTTTACAATCTGGAGTAGATGCAACAATATGGTGCTTTCATGGATTTTGAATGGACTTTCAAAGGGCATTGTAAATAGTGTTGTGTTTGTGACGACTGCTTATGATGTCTGGATCAACTTAAAGGATTGATTTTCTCAATTCAATGCATCGTAGATTTTTGAGATTCAGAAAGCAATTGTGAATCACTTGCAAAAGAATGATTTAGTCACAAAATATCATATAGTTTTGAAAGGATTGTAGGATGAACTAGCAATTTATAATCCACATCTAGCTTGTACATGTGTGGCAGCAATGAAGATCAATGCTTTAGATGAATGAAATCGATTGATGCAATTTCTCATAAGGCTCAATGAATCTTATAACAACTTGAGGAGTTAGATCCTCTTAATGAATCCACTGCCTAATATTTCAAAGGCTCTATCTTTGGTTCTTCAGGATGAGAAGCAAAGATCTATTCAATCTGTTTCCTTACTGCCATAGCCAAAGCATTCAGCCATGGTAGTTGTCAACACGCAAGAGTTTGCTCATTCTAATCAACAGTTCAAGACTAGAAACGGAAAACCTTCTATCATTGTGACTTTTGTGGTCTAGACGGATACACGGAGACATGGTGTGGAAAGAAATAGGGGAATCAAAGTTTCCATGCTTCCCAATATAGCTAAGAATTGAAAGAGCCTAATGCTCAGCAAAGGTTTAGCAACTTGAGACACAATCAAAATTCTCCAAAAAGTGACTCAAATTGCCATGTGGTAGCAGCTGTTGACCAAGATGCATTAAGCTCAAACCAAAACCAGCCTTTCACTCAAGATCAAGTTAAGCAACTTCTTGCAATTATTCAACAAAGTACTCTCAACACCTCTAACCCTCTAGTTAACATGGCAGGTAATGATACTAGTTTTTCTCATAAAAATTAGGTTGTTGATTCAAGATGTACCACTCATGTCACAAGTAGTTTTTCATCCTTACAAAATGCACAAACATATAAAGGTTTACCCATTAAATTACCCAATGGAGAGTATTCATTAGCCACTCATTCTGGATCTATACAGTTCATCTCTTCTTTACATCTAGAAAATATTCTTCATGTGCCTACTTTTAAGTTTAATCTCCTCTCTCTTAGTCAAATTACTAAGTCACTTAATTGTTTAGTTCTTTTTCTACCTTCTGTTTGTGTATTCTAGGACCTAGTGACGAGGAAGGTGATTGGTTTAGCAGAGCATGATGGACTTTATTATCTTGACATCAAAAATAAAATGTCTCTAGCAATTTCACTTGCTGCAACCTCTTTACCATTGGATCTTTGGCATTGTAGGCTTGGACATCCTAGTCATAGTATTACACCTCATTTTTCTCATCTAGATCAAAGTATTTCTTTTTCTAATAAATGTCATTGTACAGTTTGCCCTTTGACAAAACATACTCATTTATCTTTTCCCACTAGTTCTATTTCAATGAGTGCTTGTTTTGATTTAATTCACATAGATATTTGGGGACCATATTCAACTCCATCACTTACTGGAGCTCATTATTTCCTCACTATTGTGGATAACTTTTCTAGGAATACTTGGGTCTTCTTAATATAGCATAAGTCAAAGGCATTTTCTATACTTAAAAATTTCTTTTCCATGGTGCAAACATAGTTTAACTCCATTATACGTTGTGTTCACAATGATAATGACACAAAGTTTTTTAACCATGTAGTCATTGAATTCTTTACCTCACTTGGAGTAATTCATGAACATAGTTGTGTTGATACACCTCAACAAAATGATGTTGTTGAGCGTAAGCATAGACATCTGTTAAATGTTGCTCAATCTCTTTGATTTCAATCCAAACTTCCTATCAAATTCTAGGGAGAGTGTATTATTGTTGCTGCTTATCTTATTAACCACACTCCATCCAAGGTACTTCATGGAAAAACTCCTTTTGAAATGTTATTCCACAAAGTTCCTCCTTATTCTCATTTGCATGTGTTTGGATGTCTTTGTTATGCACAAAACACCAACATTAAACACAAGTTTGGTGCTCATGCTCATCTTGGTATTTTCATTGGGTATCCTTTTGGTCAGAAAGGTTGTAAAATTTTTTATCTTTCCACTCAACGAGTCTATGTGGGCAGAGATGTTATCTTCCATGAAAGTGTGTTTCCATCCATCTTTGTGACTAAGGATGACAAGTCTTTACCTATCCCAATCCATGATCCAAATCTCATTGATTCAAGTTTGTCTCCAAATAAAACAAATGAACCACCAACTTCACCATCCATCCCTTCTACCCCTTTATTACCTCAAACACAAGGAATAGCTCAAAATGACCATGTTCCTCCTTTAAGGCGCTCCAACGCCCTATTTAGCCACCATCCAAATATAAGGACAACCATTGCTTCAACACTCGCAATCAATAAGCTTCTGCATCTCCAGGTACAAAATTTCCTCTTGACAAAATGTCTTTCTTATTCTAGGTTCTCTTCTAAACATTGTGTTTTCCTTAGTTCTTTATCTTCTGATGTTGAACCCACTGCTTTTAATCAAGCTGTAAGGTTTCTTGTGTCGCAACAGGCTATCCAAGCTAAGCTTATTGCTTTGGAAGACACTAACACATGGTCTTTAGTCACTTTGTCACTAGATAAAAGGCCTATTGGATGCAAATAGGTATTCAAAATTAAAAGAAAATCTGATGGTAGTATAGAACAATACAAAGCTCATCTTGTTGCCAAGGGTTTTACTTAAGTGGAAGGTGTTGATTACCATAATACATTTGCACCAATCACTAAATAGTAACAGAGCGTGTTCTTTTAGCCATTACAGTTGTGAAACAATGGCCTTTGCATCAATTAGATGTCCAAAATGCATTTTTACATGGTGATTTATATGAAGAGGTTTACATGACTTTACCTCTGGGGCATTCTTAAAAGGGGGAGAAAGATCTTATTTGCAAACTTAATAAGTCTCTTTATAGCTTAAAGCAGGCATCACACATGTGGTTTGTTAAATTTTCTACCACTTTACTTGACATGGGATTTCAACAATCATATGCAAATTACTCACTTTTTACTTTGACCTAGGGTTTTGCTTATGTTTATGTTTTGGTGTATGTTAATGATATGATCATCATAGGCAATAGTCCTCTCTTGATCGCTCAAGTGAAGTAGTTTTTATTCAGTAGGTTTAAGCTCAAGGACTTGGGTCATCTCAAATACTTCCTTAGCATTGAAGTTGCTCATTCTTCCCAAGGTATTTATCTATGCCAATGAAAGTACACTCTTGATTTGCTCAATGACACTAGTTTTTTGGGCACTCGAATCGCTCAAACTCCCATGGAATAGAACTTGAAACTTACCCCTTCTAACGGTTCCTTATTGGAAGATCCTTCAATGTATCAAAGATTAGTTGGCAAGTTAATATATCTCACCATTACCCGACCGGACATTTGTTTGGCTGTCAATATATTAAGTCAGTTTATGCAATCTCCTTGCCATCTTGATGTTGTTCATCACTTGCTTTGTTACTTGAAGAGAACTCCTGGGCAAGGCATTCTTCTTTCTTCTAGAAGTTCTCTTCAATTAACAACATTTTGTGATTTTGACTAGGCCAATTGTGTAACAACTCAGCATTCTACTACAGGATATTTCATTCTTCTTGGTGATAGTCCAATTTCATGGAAGAGCAAAAAGCAGAGTATTGTGTCTTTTTCCTCAATAAAGGTAGAGTATCGAGCTATGGCCACAACCACCAAGGAGGTTGTTTGGTTGTGTGCCTGACTTTCCACTTTTGGCATTAATCTCCCTCGTTCTACGTTGCTCTATTGTGATAATCAAGTTGTTCGGCATATAGCAACAAATCCTATGTTTCATGAGCGGACAAAGCATCTTGAAATTGACTGCCATATTGTTCATGAGAAATTCTAGGCCGGTGTTCTATGTCCATTGCTGATTTATTCTTCTCATCAACCTATTGATATTTTAACCAAGGCATTGAGTAAAGACAATTTTCTTTTTCTTCATGGCAAGCTGGGCATCCATGATCTTCATGCTCCAACTTGAAAAGGAGTAATACCAGATACTAGTACAACTATATTAGCTATACCAATTATAACAGATACCAGCATAGCTATATTAGCTATACCAATTATAATAGATACCAGTATAGCTATATTAGCTATACCAGTTATAACAGCTTTAACAGCTATATTCCAGAGATCAAGGAACTGAATTCTTCAAATATTTCTATTACCATTAGTTTAGGCTCTAGTTCAACTAAGTTTGGTATTTTACTTGCATATAAACTTGTAGTTGTACAATTTGTTTATTGAATACAAAAATAAATCTTTCATACCTTGACATGATAAATATATTTTTTTTTTCTTTCCTTAGTAATTTTCTCCCTTTCAAATACTTATTTTTGTAATGATTCAAATGATCTTATCTTTAGTATATTATGTTGTTCCTCGAACACTCTCCTTCATCTCCTCATCATGTCATTGTTGTGTCTCGGTCACAGAATCAAATAAAATAATAATTAGTGAACTTATCAAGAAATATTGATAAGAAAATATCATCGAAATAGGCGTGAAAAGCTTACTTACTTTAAGGCGATTCACACCTCTGCGAAGAGTAGATCAACCGGTGCAGCAGAAATACATAAAGCATGTCACCCCCAAAATGCTACAGCTTTATAATAACACTTTATGGATCTACACTACCCATAGAGTCACCTTACTCAAAACACCCTTCTTTACCCAAAAATATTTAGAAAATAAAATAAGGTAAGAAAGAATAGAGGAATGTGGAGGAACCTCACTTTTGAGAAAAAAGACATGTCCTATTTATAGGACTTATGGTCTTGTAACTCTCATTTGTAGGTTCATGATAGGAATAAATTGGGCAATTATTATGAAATAATGTGCCTTTAAATAAAACAATTAACCTACAACGGCTAGTTTGACCAAGTCTTTAATGGGACAATAAATTTAATTTTTAAAATATATTATTTTATTTTTTTATAAAAATATTTAAGTTCCAACACATTATGGTCATGCGAGTATCTTAGTTGTCATAAAAATTTTATGAATATTCCATTTTCAAAAATAGATATAAATCTTTTCTAAGAATATTCTTTTTTTAAAAAATTGTAAATAAATCATTTCATAAAAAGAGAGAGAGAGAGAGAGAGAAAGTAAATCATGCATGGCTTTCTACTAATCTAAATTTTATGAATTGACAAATTATGCAAATCAATCTCTACCCCACTTCAGGTTGATAATTATACCCTTAATTTTTTTTCACTAGCAAAGTACTCCTATACTTGTTGATCTAGGCAAATTGGCCTAATTTATTTCATAGATGAAATCTTTTGATATCATCAATCTATCACATTTTCATTTGGACCATTAACACCTCTGTCTTCCCTGTTAGTTTTTTCCCTTTGAGTATAAATTTTTTCTTTTTTCTTTTTTTTTTCCCTTCTCCTTGACTTTAAGACTAAGTTTTTCAAAAAAAAAGAAAAATCTAGGTTATATATATATAACTAACGGGCAGACGAAGGTGGAAACAAATCAAACAAATATGTGACAAATTGATGACTTCATATGATGTCACCTGTGAAATAAGGGCTAATTTGTCCAAATAGACAACTAGAGAAGGTAATTTGCTAGTGAAAAAAATTGAGGAATTGATCATCAACCTGAAGTGGAGTATTGCATAATTTGCCTTATGAAGTTACTAATTCGGCCAAGGAATAGAGAAAGATTTTCCTTCCACTCAATTTTTATTTGAGATTTTTGAATATTTGTGCTTTAATCACAAATCATTTTATTATTTGATTAACAAAATCTGAAACTATTAAATCATAAAAATTTAATAGTAGAATTTCTTTTATATTTTTTAAAACTAATATTTGAAGACGTTCTTAAACTCAAAGTTTTAGAACCACATTAATTTCAATTAAAATTAAAATTAAAAAAAATGCATTCCCCCAAAAGTAGTATAGTGACTAAACATCTTAAAATG